AAAGGTGATACAGCTTACACTAAATTCACTGGAATTCTTACCCTTGAAGTCTTCAACCAATGTGCAATCACCGTTACTGCTCTGAGGCAGCCATGCTGTGAGAAAGGCCCCAACTAGCCCAGAGAGAGACCATACAGAGAATCCAGTCCTGAGACTGGGGAGAGATGCCTAGCCAGTTCCCAAATGCCCTAGTCCCCATTTTCCAGTTTTTGCTGCATCCAACTGCAATGGATTGACAGATTCTGAGCCAAACTCAGGCTTTCCAACTGAGCTCTGTCAGAATTCCTGTCCCACTGTGAGAGAGAGGAAAGTGGTGGTTGTTATTTTAAACCTCTAAAATTGTTTTTGAAGAGCAGGTTGTAACTGGAAGTTGAACCCTAAATTGATCCCATCATCAGAAGTTGAATCCTAACTGCCTTCATGGGAAATATGAACTGAATGGATCCAAAGACCCTCAGAAAGGTTCAGCAATAGGAAGGATCAATTTCAGAGGGCAGAAGAAGGCATGTGACTGAAAACAGGACTAAACTGCAAGTCTTTAGTGAGAACTCCAGATTCCCAGTCCTACCTGAGCCATCAAGTATTCCAAAGAACCAGGGGAACTCACCACAGGAAGGATTATTCTCAGAACTAGGTGAGTGGGGAAACCTACAGAAAAACAAAAGAGATCTGGCTGGTTTGGCTCAGCGGTTAGAGCGTCCGCCTGCGGTCCCGAGAGACCCGGGTTCGGTTCCCGCTAAGGGCACGTACCTTGGTTGCAGTTTGTCCCCGGCCCTGGTTGGTCGTGCGGGTGGCAGCCACTCGATGTGTCCCTTTCACATCGATGTTTCCCTCTCTCTCTCTCTCTCTTCCTCTCCCTCCGTCTGTACAGAAAATGGAAAAATGTCCTCGGATGAGGATAAAAAAAAAGAAAAGAAAAAAAAAAGAGGAACAACTGAAGGGTAAAAACCACTGGCTAGAGAGGTACAGAAAATGGAAAAATGTCCTCGGATGAGGATAAAAAAAAAGAAAAGAAAAAAAAAAGAGGAACAACTGAAGGGTAAAAACCACTGGCTAGAGAGGAAAGACATTGGGGATTTAAGCACTTAAACTGTCATTCAATGATTGCATGTCTTTGTACAATCATTTTCTCATTTAAAGAGGTCAAACCAGAATCATCTCTAAAGTAGATGTTCACAGTAAAAATCTGTGATTCTATTAAAAAGAAAGAGGACACACTTTAAAATATGGCTAGTTTAAGTAATGAGCCACAATATGAATTGCTTTTTAGTCTATGGAAATTCTAATTTGCTTCTTATAACATGTAGTTCTTTTAAAAATAACATTAGAGATTATAACAGAAAACTTCCAGTTAAGGTACTTTAATGTTTCTCATCCCTCCCCCCAGGGACCAATTAAAAGGGTGTGGGCTAAATTATAGGGAATTGATGGAATATATGCATGAATCTAGGAATATAAAACTGTTACACCTAGACCCAAAGCAACATGAGAAGGGAGATGTTTCCAGAACATGAAAGACTGAATCACATAGAGCAGGCCACTCTAAGAGAAGTGAGTAAGTAGTGAATTCCCCAAAACGCAACAGACAACCATAGGGAGGTAACCCTTCAGGGAGAAAGCCTGGGGAATAAATATCCTGACCTCATTCTCCTCTCACCCTGCATTTCCTTTCTGTGATTCCTCTCCACTAGCCAAACTCAGTTGGAAGCCTGAGAGCACTGACCCCATTGATATATTCCTTGCCCTTAGACTCCAGGACAGAGAGGAGGTTGAGAGGGGCCTTGGAGGAGCAAAAGAAAGACAGTCAGCACAGAGAGCAGATTAAAATTCACTTTTTAAATATAAACAAAAGTTCTTGACTTTGGGACATTAGCTAAGAAAACTGGAGATATTCTGAGATGTGATAAGGTTTTAGAATAATTAGTTTTACAGTCAATCTTTTTACCTTTCTGTCTTGTCTATTTTGACTTGAACAAATACTAGATCATAACTGGTGGCATAAACTTTGGTATTTGGTCTGCATTCATGTAAATAATTTATTTTTTATTTCTCTGTTTACATCCATGTCGTTTGAGCTACACACCTTGTAATATGAATGGTATTTTTCAACTGATATTGTGGTTTTTGTCAGAAAACTTCTATCTTGTCTTTACAACTTGGAAGCTTCTAACTAAACAGACAATAGCATTGTAGGGAAGGAGAGAAAAACTTCATTACAACATGTACTGTGTGGATAAACAGAAGGATGTATTTTGTTACCTATAGAATCACTATCTGCAATTACTTATTTGTATCTTAAGTAACTTACTACACATATGAGCTTATGTTTCCAGATCTAATGAATTGTTCTGCACAGGACAAATTTGTCTTTTCTGAGTCTCCCATCTCTAAGCTCTGGCCTACCAACACTTTGACATCTATATTAATTAGATTAACCCAGATCCTAAATAGTCCCAGTAGACACCTAATTTTGACAGCAGTCCCCCTTCCCCTCAACCAAAGACTTACTCATTAAGAGCCACCATATTGGGAAGGAAAAATTGCTACATGGAAGTGAGTATAGGAGGTCTTGACCAGTTTTTCTTTCAGGACTTTTCTACTTTCTTTCAAAACTTTGGACTCATATTTCCATCTGTCAGCATTCTCCATCTAAATATATTTTGAATGCATTTCAAATGCAACACAGCTCAAATGGAAATCACTGTATTTTCCCAACTTGCTTCCTCTTCTAGTTCAGTTAAGAACATCACCAACTAGCCAAGCCACTAAGTCTCCCAAACTAGAAACTTCGGAACTATTCTCAGAATTCCATTTTCCTCATTCCTCATTCCTACACATTCTACAAATCTGATGAGCTTGATTTTCTAGAATACTCTGAAGTCTGGCCTGTCTTCCCTTACCAGCTGTCACAAATTTCACCAAAACTGACCCAACTGCTTCTTCTCTAAGCCTTCTGATGACAACATCTCCACCGCCTCCCATCCTTAGTTTTTCCCCTAAGGCATCCTTTCACATTCCTCTGCTGTCTTTCAAATGCATATTTAATCACATCAGTGGACTGCTTAAAAACAGTAGTCTATCTCTGGGGCCCACAAAATATACGGCTTTGAATGCTAATTTTCACACTTTGCCCTTTTCTATTTAGTCAACCTTTCTTGGATATGAAATCTCTTCAACCTGAAAAAATGCATACCTTCCTTCTTTGCTTAAGCACTCTCTCCTCTATGGGCATTCTCTGTTTATCTAAATCCTTTCCATAATAATAGCATGAAAATAATTTGTGTACTACCAAGGGATAGGTACTCTGCTAAACACTTAACATTCATCATATGTTATAAGCACCATTTTACACTGAGGAAATGGAAGCATATAATTTGTCCACGATCACAGTTTCATTAAACAGAAAAACTGGGATTACAGTTCAGGTCCAACCCAATCCAGGAACTGAACATTTAAATGTTCAGTTTAATATACCTTCTAAGTTCCAGTTGTACTCTTATCCTTAAAACTCCCAGTTCATTTAGCACCTCTTCTCTCACCTCGAATTGCTGTTTTAACCAACAACATACTGTTCAGTACTAAATTATTATTTAATCTTTTCATTTTTCTAAATTTTAGCATTGTAAATTCATTGTGAACAGGGAATTAAATTATTAATATGCCTCCACAAGGACATAGCATATCCTTTAATAGCAAATCGCTAGCTCATATTGGGGCAGCTGATAGGTGTGCTCTATATATCTCTATCACCGCATTTACACATGGAATAATCAATATTTACTTTATACTTAAATCAGAAGCAGATAAGATGAATTATATTTAGAGGATATAAGTAAACGTAAAATTTTCGGCAAGAGCAGGAAAAAAAAATATATATATATATAAAATATTCCTCTTTTTCTGCCCCTCCCGTATCGAGCCTTTAAAAAAAAAATACTACTGGACTTCTCTGTACTTGTAATTAATAGGTTATTTAAAATGTTGCTATTATTACCTTTATGGTAATAATTAGCACCGGTCTCAATATTCAAGTTATATAAAGTTCCATATATATATTTCTACTTTCATATCTTCTGAAGACATTCTCATTTTAAATTAGCCCACTGCTCGGTAATGTTGCAATAGACCTATTTCTGAGAATTTTCCTAGTAAGCCCTTTGGAGTTCTTTCTTCAGGGGCGTGTAATTTTGCATCCTTTAAAAGTGTTTTCCATGACCCTTCAACCGTAGGCCAAAAGCGCACTAACACAGAAGGTCCACAAACGGAAACGTCCGGTTCTGATGAGTGGCCCTGCTGCTGGCGGCACCCGCACGACCACGGCCGAGGGCCGGGTGTGAGCCCCGCGGGCGAGGCAGGGCGATCCCAGCAGGACCCGCGGCCTGTGCGCCGGGGCCACCGCCTCGGCCCAGCGGCGGGAAGCCGCCGGAAGCGGTCTGAGCTAAGGTAGCTTTCGGGCCTGGCGGTAAACGAGTTGGCGAAGCAGAGGGTTCCCGGGAGCCTTCCCAGGGCGGCCAACCCCGCCAGGCCGCGTGGCGTACGGTGTCCTAGTGAGTGCCATCGAGCGGGCTCATTTCCTTATGTGCTTTCGCAGAAATGTAGGCCGTGGCCTCTCGCACCCCCGTTCGTGATCATTCAAGTGCTCGTCAGTTTCTTATTTTTGGTGTGTTTTTGAAACCACAGAATCGTACCCGCTGGAACTGAGCAGTCGTTCGCCCCCGAGGCCTCAAAAGGGACCAAAACAGCAACCAGTGTGGGCGGCCTCGTAAACGCTCAGAATCCGAAGGCTAGAGGGCGTGTCCAGAATCCAGGTGCAAGCGAAGGCGCAAGTAACGGCTCTGGGCAACCCCGCCTCTCCGTCCCGCCCGCACCCGCCCATTTTAGTTCCCTCGGGTCTATGGCCACTTCCCCGGCCGCTTCCTCTTTAAGGCGGAGCCCGGTGTGGATCTCGCGAGATCCGGGTTGGCGCCGTGACCTCCATGTGGGAGCTAGAGCTCTATAAGTAAACACTCCGCGCGGTGCAGACAAGGTTTCTTCCTATTTGTGAAGCGGCGGCTGTAGCAGCGGCACCTCGGACTAGTTCCGGTTTCCTTTCGTTCTCAGCTCTGCTGGGCGGGTACGCGGTTCTAGGAGTCACGGTCTCCTGCCGGGCCCGGCGTCTGATCTGTGTTCCCCGCTTGTGCGCGCGCTCGCCCGCCCGCCCGCCGGCCGCGGAGAGCCGAAGCCGCCGGGGAAGCAGCGCGGGCCAGGCGGGGCGCGGCGCGGCGCCCTAAACGCAGGGGGAGACAAAGCGGAGCCGGCCCCCTTTCCCGGCGCCAAGATGTGGATCCAGGTTCGCACCATCGACGGCTCCCAGACGCGCACCATTGAGGACGTGTCTCGCAAAGCCACAATTGAGGAGCTGCGCGAGCGGGTTTGGGCGCTGTTCGACGTGCGGCCCGAGTGCCAGCGCCTCTTCTACCGGGGCAAGCAGGTGAGGCGCGCCCACCGCAGCCCTCGAGAAGCCCGGTGCGAGGGCAGCGGGACGCCTCCAAGACGCGTGGGCTGGGCGGGCCGGAGGGCTTGGTGCGCCACGCGCGCAGAGCGCATCTGGCTCCACTTGGAGTGGGCAGCCCGCGAGCCTCAAAGTGTGGGCCTGGCCCCGCCGAGGATGCGCCGGCGCCGCGGGGTCCGCACCAGCCCCGAGTGCAGGTGCGCTCGGCGGGGTCGGAGGCGAGGGCGCCTGGAGCACTGAAACCTCGCCTCCCTTTTACAGCGGGGCAGCAGCCGCAGGCACAGAAGATCAGAGCGCGTGGGTTCCTTCTCTTCCCGCGCTCAATGGGGTCAGGGGCCCCTGGAGGGCGGGGAGGGCAGCGAGCTGTGGCGGCCATGCCACAGTGCAGGTGGGGTGGGCCGGCGGCTCCGCTCCCGGCTAACGGCTCTCATCGTTTCCGTGGCTCTTCCGCGCTCCGGCTCCCAAATAGGCGGGGAGAAACTTACTGTATGGGCACGAGAACCCTAGCTCGGCCTCCTCAGTGTGGAAGAGATTTGTAAACACTGAAGATTCGCAGGGTTTCCAGAACTTTAGAACCCTGTCCCTCACCTCCTCTTCTAGAATTGGATTCTGCCTTGGGGAAGATTAGAGACCCAGCTGGGCTGAAGGGGAGCTATAGATGTAACCCAGGACTGGGTTTAAACTTCCCAGTATAGGCCCAAAGCGTTATTCCCAGAAGGGAAAGGAATTTAAAAGACTGTTTTGCTCGTCCTACTTGTTATCTTCCAATCTCCTCACCTAAGTTTTTAACAGCAACTGGAACACTGCCAGCGGAATATATTTGAGGGCTGAAAAGTGTTTTTGGCGGTGAAGGTATCTGTGGGCGTCTGTGGTAGTAGTATGGTATTGCCGTGCACTGGCCCATTGAAGATTTTTCCTATCCCATAAGTCTCTCTTGGTCTATACCCAGAGACCCAGACCCATCCTATTATTCTTGCTCCTCCCCTTTTTTAAAAAAAATCCACTAAAAAGTTGCCATCCTCCCGTTGACAGACCACAGTTTGGCCCCGATCCTGTGGTTTGAAATAAATGTAGCTCTCTTGGATTTGCCGTTTCCTACAACCACAAAGGATTTGAAAGGAATATTTTTCTACCCTTGATATGCTTACCCTTCTAAAACTGCCCAGAAATGTCAGAGAAACAAGATTGCACTGAAAAAAAGAGTCGTGAGATGTTTTAATATAAATGTTATAGCATCTTTGATATGTCTAGCAAGCCAGTTTATATTGATCCTTTAGTGTTTGACAAAACAGGTGTTCAACTTAGTTGTAAACTTTGCTTTTGAAATAATTGTGTAAAACAATGTAGCTCTGGCCGGTGTGGTTCAGTGGTTAGAGCGTCAGCCTGCACACAGAAGGGTCTTGGGTTCGATTCTGGTCAAGGGCATGTATCTGAGATATACCAGCCCTGCTCGGGCCCCTTCGGGAGGCAACCAGTCAATGAGTCTCTCTCACATCCATGTTTCTCTCCTTCTCTCTCTCCCCCTTCATGGAAAAATATCCTCAGGTGAGGGTTAACAACAATAACAACAACAACAAAATACTGCGTAGGTTTATAGTGGCTGATATCTTTTTATATTTTGGTCAAAGGTGGAAAGCATGTACTCAAGTCCTTTCAATTTTATTTTCTAGCTAGGGACAATAGTATATGAATGCCTGGTATACTTTGGTGATTTCAGCACCAGTGATGGAAATGAAGCATGAAAATATATTCCTGGGCAAAACCCCTAAAGTCTAGTTATCAAATATGCTAAAAGAAAATATGCACCTGGTTGTCTTCAGGAAAAGGTAGGGGTTGGGTTAAATTCAGTAGAACAGTTGAATAAACCAGGAAGCTGGTTCCAGATTCAGGAAAGAACTGTAGAGGATAACAACCTTTGGTGCTTCTTTCTTCAGGACAGTTGATAACTTAATGTTTTAATTGTTTTTTTCAGCTCAGTGATAAATCAGTAGGGATGAGAAACGGACCTTTGGTGCCCATTGAGTTGGAGACGGAGAAGGAAGACACTGCACCCCAGCTGTGTTTACTTCCTTATGAGCTTACAAGTAGTTATGGCAGTGATTATTATCTCCATCTCTTTTCCTCTTTGGAGTCCACAGTCCATAGATAGGGTAGTGTGTCTATAGCACCCAACTACTGGATTGGTTTCACAGGACTGCCCCTATATTGTTAAATGCCTTCATACTTATTAGAAAGAGGCACGATGAATTACTGCCACATAGTGAAAAATTTCATAAAAACAAATTTACACTGCCTATGATATAAATGGTACCCTTTCCCCTTTGTATGTTAGTGTCTGCTGCTTTCACTCTTTGGTGTGTATCTGAATCACTTGTGGATATTTTATTATAGATGCTCAGCTCACCACAGAATTGCAAGTATTTGAATTGAACACGATCCCACAGGAGATTCTGATGAACACCAGAGTTTGAAAATGAAAGTTGAAGGATAGTCAATCTCCTAGTAGTTTCTTACTATTCCAGATATGGCCCCTGGATCAGCAGATCAGTAGCATTAACTTCACCTGGGAGCTCAACCAGACCTACTGAAGTAGAATCTCTAGTTTAACAAGGACCCCAGGTGATCTGTATGCAAATTAAATTTGGAAGCCCTGTAATTGACTTCACTTTTGACTGTCAATTAACTTTTGCAGCGTTTTTAAGTTCTGGTTAGAGTAGGATAACCTCATTTGGGTATTCTTTTGGGGGGGGGGTGGGAATTGAGTTTAAAGCACCCTGGGGATTGTTTTTTGTTGTTTTTTTTTAAGTTGTATTGGTAGATCTCTAAATCTTTGAAAATCCATAGCTTTTCCTACTTTGAAAGAATCCTCTCCTCTCTTTTCTTTCCCTTGCACCACTTAGAGATAACCTTAGAATTAGATGGTAGATATGAGGCATAAACTAAAGCTGAAGAAAGACTGAGCAGTTGCCTTTTGCTGGTGGACTCTTCCTTTTCACACAGACTACAAAGTAAAAGTGTTTGCCTATTTAAAGATGTGTTGGTGTGTTATGTATTGTATATATTATGTGAAAGGTATGTGAAACTTGCTAACTTAATGCCCTCTATCTGCCTGCTTATCATTAGCTTTTTGAGAATGACTTACCCAACTGCCTTCTCCGTCTCTGCTACTTAGTGTTTACTTCCTAGTTTTCCCTTGCATCACTGTTAACAATCCTGTTATCTGGAATTTCTTACTTCAACCCAGTAAAAATTCAAGAATGCAGTATGGCAAAACAGAATTCTAGGACCATTATTGCCTCTCCAGTATTATAAATGTTGTGCCCCCATCTTCTAGGGTGGCAGTTCTCAAAACATTTTCTGCTGTGAGCCATTGATGGACTATAGTTGCACACCTGAAATTCATAGGTGTTTGTAATTTCTGAGTGACCCAATCCCTTTCTTCCTACTCAGAGCATAATTTAAGTGACAGGTAACTTTCAGTCTGCACTATTAAATTTGGAATCTTAAGTACTTTTCAAGTAACAAATCATTCCAACATTCTTCACAACTCTTCACAATGGCTTAGCTGTGTGGAACTTGCTGTAAAATGGATAATAACTTTTAGGAAAACTGGAATGGATTCAGGAATTAGGGGAGGGAGTGGATAATATGGGTGAAAGTGGCCATCATAGTAAGCATGAATAATTGGAAAGGTGGTTACTTGTTAATGTGAACCTGACTTCTATTATAGGGCCTTATGCCTTGATATGCTTAGTGTTTCACTCTGACATTTAGACATTGCTTTTCCTTTCAAACCAAGTGCCTTTGAAGCAGCTTGTATTTACTGACTGATCACTTGGTAGAAACTAGTCGAAGTGGTTTAGTGTAAGAATACCCTCAAGGTCCCTCTGACTCTTGTCGCTTAAATTTCAGTGGAAAATGTTTATGGAAACATGTTGGATTTCCAATTGTTGTATTCCCTTAACCGCTCTCTTCATTTTGGGGAGGGCCCTACCATTTAATGTGCAGGTTCTGTGCTATTAGAGAGTTTATTTTTCTTTTCTACTGTAAACACTTCCATTTTTTATAATTGTCATAATATGTAACAGTTGTATGTTTAATCAAGTAGTGCTTTTTCAACTGTTCTAGCATTAATGTGTTCTGTTTTCTTTTGAGGGGCAGGGAGGCTCTTGGAGAAATGTCAAAATGAAGGTGTGAATGTATGGTTTATTATCATTATTATACATTTTGCCATTCCTATAAAGGTGTATCTGCTTACTGACTTTTGGAAGACTCCTTAAGGTTTTCTGCAATAAGCATATTAACTAACCTGTGAGATAGTGCCTAATTTAGTTCCCTCACTGAGAAGTTGATAGATTTCTTGACCCTTTGTTCTATTGAACAAATGTCAACACCTGTAATGTGCAGGGTTGCGCTAGGTGTATTCTTTGACCACTTAAACTTACTAATGTACTAGACAATTTTAATTTATCATTCAAGGACAGACTCGTTCTCTGATTGACTTCCTAAACATGGTCTTACTGTGATAGAGAGTACAAAGAGGGGGAAATGAACAACAATTAAGTTGGTAATGTGCCTAGGGAAATGATAGTTCAAATCTGGAAGGAATTTAGTTTTATTGTATCATAGTGAAATGGCCAACTGAATTTTATAAACAAAATGGAGACTTAGTTTCTTAGGGCTTCCATAACAAATTACCAAAACCTAGGTGGCTTAAAACCACAGAAGATTTTTTCTCAGGGTTCTGGAGGCTATACCTTTGGAATCAAAGTGTCAGTCAGCAGGGCCCTGCTCTCTCTGATAACTAGGGAAGAATCTTCCTTGTTTTCTTTAGCTTCTAGTGTTTGTTAGCAATCTTCGGTGTTCTCTGGCTTGTAGTAAATACCTTACTCCAGTCACATGGCTGTTTCCTCCCTGTGTGCGTTTGCATCTTCCCTTAGTGCAGTGGTTCTCATCCTTCATAATGCCATGACCCTTTAATACAGTTCCTCATGTGGTGACACCCAACCATAAAATTATTTTTGTTGCTACTTCATAACTAATTTTGCTACTATTATGTTTTAGGTGACCCCTGTGAAAGGGTTGTTCAACCCCCAAAGGGGTCGTGACCCACAGGTTGAGAACCGCTGCCTTAGTGTGTCTTTCTGTATCAAGTTTCAGCTTTTTATTTTTTAATCCTCACCCAAGGATATGTTTTTATTGATTTGAGAGAGAAAGGAAAGGAGAGAGAAACATTGATGTTTGAGAAACACTGACCGTGTGCCTCCTGTAGGATGCCAGACTAGGATTCAGTCTGGAACCTGCCTGTGTGCCCTGACCTGGAATGGAACCCACCACCGTTTGGTGTATGGGATGACGCTTCAACCAACTGGGCTTACAGGGCTCAATTTCAACTTTAAAAAAATTTTTTTTTATTAATTGATTTTAGAGAGAGAAAAAGGGAGAGGGAGGGAGAGAGATAGAAACATCAGTGAGAGAGAACATTGATTGGCCACCTCCTGCATGCCCCTCACTGGGGATTTGGCCCACAACCTGGGCGTGTGCCCTGACCAAGAAGCAAACTGGCAACCTCTCTGTGCATGGGTCGATGCTCAACCACTGAGCCATACTGGCTGGGCTAAATTTCAGCTTTTTGTAAGAATACCCATTACAGTGGATTAGGGTCCACGCATATGACCTAGTTTTAACTTGATTACCTCTGTAAAGACCTAGCTTCCAGATGTCACATTCTGAGATAACCTGGGATTAAGACATCCAGTATTTGGGGGAAGTGGGAGGGAATGAACACAATTCAGTGTACTATAGAGATCTTGCCAAAATATGGGTAACTTGCAGGATAGTTCATTCACTGTTTATCCTGGAAGACTTTATGATAACCTTTAGAAATGGATGGGCCCTGGCTTGTGTGGTTCATTTGGTTGGAGCATCGTTTGGCACACTAAAAGGTGGCGGGTTTGATCCCTGGTCCGGTGTGTGTGGGAGGCAGCCAGTCAGTGTTTCTCCCTTCCTCTCTCTTAAAAAGGGAAAGAAAGAAACGGATGGAATTAGAGAACTTTAGGCAAGTGGAATAGCATGAGCAAGGACTGTAATTTCTCCTGCTTGAATTGTTTTTTCCTCCTTGATTTAAAAAAAGATGAAATGGTTAACTTAATGTCTTTATGAACACAAGGTCATAAACTCATTTTTTAAAATCACCTTTTCTTTCTTTCAGTGGATTCAGGCACTATTTATTGAAATAAAACTTGGTAAGAAATCTAGAATTTTTCTTCTTAGGTTATGAGATCACAACAGCAGTGATGTGCTTTTTATTCCAGTGGCTGTCAGTGTACCCTATAGCTAATGTTGCGATAAAGTAATAGAAATCGTTTCAGGATCACTAAATTGCAATGCTGTGAAATTTATTTTAATAATTTGGGTAGGACCTTTGGGTAACTAAAGATATAGAAAGGTCAAGTTTTGAAAGAAGCATTTTTATCTTTTCTTTTATTTTTAGTTGGAAAATGGATATACTTTATTTGACTATGATGTTGGACTGAATGATATAATTCAGCTACTAGCTCGTCCAGACTCTGATGTTCCTAGCACATCTAAACAGACTGATACACAGGTCAAACCCTGTTCTAACAGTCCACCTAAAGTGAAGAAACCATCAAGGGGAGGATCTTCCAGTCAGCCATCTACATCAGCTCGTGATTTTCTTGTTGATCCTGGCTTTGGACTTTATAAGGTATGTTATTTTCTTTCTTTTTTTTTTTTTTTATCCTCACCCGAGGACACTTTTTCATTCTTTGTTCAGATAGAGCAGGAGGGAGAGAGAGAGAGAGAGAAACATCGACGTGAAAGGGACACATCGAGTGGCTGCCACCCGCACGACCAACCAGGGCCGGGGACAAACCGCAACCGAGGTACATGCCCTTAGCGGGAACCGAACCCGGGTCTCTCCGGACCGCAGGCCAACGCTCTAACCGCTGAGCCAAACCGGCCAGGGCTAAGGTATGTTATTTTCAGAATCCTTGTTAGTTGTGCCCTGGCGGGTGTTGCTCAGTTGGTGTCATCCCATGCACCAAAAGGTTGCTGTTCAGGGCACATACCTGGGTTGCAGGCTCAATTCCAGATGGGGCGCATGCAGAAGATAACCTATCTGTGTTTCATTCTCACATTCATGTTTCCCTCTCTCCTTCCATCCCTTTCCCTATCTCTCTCTCTAAAAAGCAATGTAAAAAAATTTGTTTAAAGAATTCTTGTTAGTTGTGAGAATACAGATGTCTTCACTTCAGGATGTGGTGAATAAGTACATTGCCATTTGAAAGTAAAAAAAATGGGCTGTTCATACTTTTAAAAGCCTTTTAAACATTGTACAATATATAGATGAATGTATAAAATGTATAGGTACGGTATAAAGCGTAATAAAGCAAACACCTGTGTAATTCCACCAAGGTTAAGAAGTAGAATGATGCCAGTTCCTTTTTAAAGCCTCCTGTGTGCCCCCACCAGAACACACTTCCCTCTCTCTCAGAACAAGGTAAATTACTGTTCTGACTTTTATGATCATTTTCTCATTTTCATATAGTGTTACTAATGTATATATCTCTAAACAATATGTTTTGTTTTGCCTACATTTGACTTTTATATAATGGAGTTCTACTTTTTCTCATGCATAAAGCTTTATTTTATTTTCACATCACAATATAATTAATCTATGATTATTAACTATTTGAACTGTTACCTTTTCAGCTGTTTTAAACAGTTCTGCTTTGAACCTTTTATGTGTATCTTGGTGCACATGTTCGATAATTTCTCTAGGAGTTTTTATCTAGAAATGGAAGTGCTGGTTGTTCATTCACAGGATACTGTCAAACTGCTCTCTACTTTATTCCATTGACCTGTTTGCCTGTCTTTGTGCCCATACTGCTCTAAGTACTGTAGTGTTGTTTTGGTATCTCTCTTTCCTCCATCTCCAAATTTAATTTTTTTTTCAAAGATGTCTTGGTTTTTGGCTTTTAACACTTGCATGTAAAATTTTAAAATTAGCTTGTCGAAACTCTACAGAGATAATTTGGTGGGGTTTTGATGATTGTATATAGATCAGCTTGGAGAATTGACATCTTTACAGTATTTAGTCTTTCATTCATGAACATGATAGATGTCTCCATTAATCTAGATCTTTGACATCTTAGTTTTCTCTTTACATACCTTGTTTTTATTTATTTCTAGTAGCTTTCTTTTGATGCTATTATAAATGGTTATCTTTTAAAATTATGATTTGTTTGCTGATGTGTAGAAATATAATTGATTTATTTATTGACCTTTGTAGTCAGCAACTTTTTGAAATTCTATTCTAATAAATTTTGCAGAAATAATTGAATGACAGTTTTGCTTCATCCTTTCCTATCCTTAAAGCTCTTTTTTCTTAATTTTTATCGGTTGAGATAAATTGGGACTGACACTCATTGTTTTTAGAGCATTTTCAAGGTTAAAAATTAAAAATTGGTAGATAAAGTGAATTATTTAAGAAAATGCAAATGGAGATTATTTTGGATTTATGAAAAAAATGGAAACAGATCCATAAATATGGAAAGAATCAAGAAAATTGTCAAAGAACTGTATCTCAAAAGTACCTGGCCTTTGTGGCTACATTGATGACTTGCTTTAAACCTATAAAGTATAGATCATTATAATGTTACTTAAATTGACCCACAACATAATGAAATGGGAGGCTTTCTCTTTTTTAAAAAAATACATTTAGTATAACACTGGTACAAAGACATGACAAAAAGCACACCCGTATTATTACATATTGATGTAAAAGCCTAAGTTATATTTAGCAAATAAATTTCGACAATATATTTAAAAAACATAGTACCTTGATCATGTATAGTTTGTGACAAAGCGGGATAGTTTATTAGAAAGTGTTTTAATATAATTCATCATATTAATTGACCAAAGAAAATAAATGAGTTAATGTAAAATGTTTTTAATACCTATACACAAGTTTGAATCCACTTCTAGTTTTTTAAAAATCTTTGGGAAGAGGAACAGATGGAATAAATGAATATTTTAAACCACACCTAGCATCATGTTTAATGGTGGGGAAAAGCCGGAAGCATTTCCATAAATATGGGAGCCAGACGAGGAAGCCAGTAAATGCTGCTGCTGTTTAACAATTTTCTAGAAATATTAGATAATACAGATACACAGGAGAACAACAAAGTGTAAATATACAAGAAGGCAAAGTTATTACTTACAGATACCTGGAGAAACTGAGAAAATCAACATTAGAGCATTATAAGCAAGCAGGAAGGTGGCTATTTAAATAGGAGCTTTCCTTGCTATAATCATTTAGTAAAAGAGAAAAAAACTGCAATAGCAAAACAAAGTTTGGGAATGAACTTACGTGATATTGGCAGCACATAAATTAAAACAGTGCTTTATGTAGTTCTCACAAAAATCAGAATTGTTAATATTGAAAGCTCTCTTGCCATATCGTTATCTACAAGACCCATTGATAACATCCCTCTTCAGTTACCAACAATTTCTAAATTGATATTTTTTCACATTGTTACTTTTAAATTGGTTATTTTAGAACAATTTTCAATTTATAGCATAATTGGGAAGATACTACAGTGTTTCCATGTTTTCTATACCTAGTTTGCCCTGTTACTAACATCTTACGTTAGTATGGTACGTTTGTTAAATTAATGAGCCCTATCTCCTTAGCTTTTACCTAACGTCCTTTTTCTGTTCCAGAATTCCATCTAGGATACCAATAACATTATGTTTACATTAGTGTTATACTAAATAGTTGTCACATCTCCTTAAACTCCTGTTGGCTGTGACAGTTTCTTAGACTTCTGTGTTTATGATCTTGACAGTTTTAAGGCATTCTGGTCAGGTATTTTGAAAAATGTTCTTCTGTTAGGATTTGTCTGTTGTTCTCCTTGTCATTGAATTGGATTTATGTGTTTTGGGGAGGAAGACCACAGAGATAAAGTATTTTCATATCATATCTAGGGGTATGTACTGTCAACATTCTACTTGCTAATTATAACAGGTTTTACATCAATAGTAACTTAACACTGTTGATGTGAACCTTAGTGACCTGGCTGACGTAGTATTTGTCAGGTTTCTTTACTGTGAAGTTACTCCTCCGCCCCCAACCCCTGAACCCCTTTTTGTATGTAATCTTTTTATTTATTTATTTTTTTAAATTAATTTTTTTTTTCCGAGGATATTTTTCCCATTGATTTCTAGAGAGAGTGGAAGGGACAGAGGGAGAGAGAAACATTGATATGAGACACATTGATTGCTGCCTTCAGCACGACCCCGACCAGGGCCGGGAACCGAACCTGCAACCCAGGTACATGCCCTTGACCGGGAATAGAACCCTCGAACCTTTGGTGCATGGGCTGCCACTCTAACCACTGAGCAATACCGGCCAGGCTGGGAAAGTAACTTCTTCACTCTGACTGGAGAGCCACGCAAAGCTGGTCTACTCAAGGACAAGGAAGCACACAGCTTCCTGAGACTCTGTAACAAGTTACCACAAACTGGTTGCTTAAAAGAACAGATATTTATCCTCTTACAGTTTGGGGGCCAACAGTCCAACATCAAGTTGTGGGCAGGGCTCTGCTATCTCTGAAGGCTCCAGGGAGAATCTTTCCTCACTTCTTCCCACTTCTGCTGGCTGCAGAAACTCCTTGGCTTGAGGCTTCATGACTCCAGTCTCTGCCTCTTCACATGGCCTTCTCTGTCTTTTTCTCTTCTGATTCTTATAAGGACACTTGTCATTGGATTTAGGGTCTACCCAGCCAGTTCAGGATAATCTCTTAAGATCCTTAACTTAATTACATCTGAGAAGACCCTTTGGCCAATCTTTTTATTTTTCTTTTTTCCTTTATTGATATTAGAGAGAGAGAACATTGATTGGCTGCCTCTACTGGGGCTTGGGCCCACAACCTGGGCATGTGCCCTAATGAACTGGCGACCTCTTGGTGCATAGGTCAATGCTCAACCACTGATCCACACTGGCTGGGCATTATATGTAATTTTTTAGATGAAGTCACTGTTAGCAGCCCACACTTAAGGAATGGATAGTTAAATACTTTACTTCCTTGAGGGCAGATATCTACAAAAATTATTGGGAATTCTTCCATATGGGAGACTTGTCTCTTCTCTACCATTTATTTATTCAGTCAGTCATTTATTTGCATCAGAATGGATCTTTTTCCTGTATCCTTTGGACATACCCTCATTATTGTGGGTTTTTGTTTGTTTGTTTTTTATTAAAGCACTTTCTGGTGCTTGGCTTTTCTTACATATTTCCTCTTCCAGTGCTGGAATTAACCATTCCTCCAACGAGCCTTGGTTCCTTTAATTGGAGAATGGTATCAGAAACCAAGTCAGACTCTGGGTATGCCCCTTGCTATTTGGGTGTCATTACTTTTAGGGCCCTCAGCTGACAGAGAAAGGAAATATGTGTATGTATAATGACTCTTGTATATCCATATGTCAATAAATATTTATGTAACCATCTATATTTATATTAATCTTACATTTTTTGTTTGTTAATCCTTACCCAAGGATATTTTCCAGACTTTTATTTTTTGTTTTGTTTTGTTTTTTAGTTTTGAATTAATTTACAGATGTTTCTCCTTTTTCCCCTACTGACACCCTCCTCCTGTTCCTGCCCCCTCTCCTCCAACATTGTTGTCTATGTCCGTTGGTTAT